AACTCCGCATCAGGTGACGAACAGGATCCGCGGCCATTTTCCCTGCCATGACACATGGTTGTGGCTTCCTGTAGGGAGGGGGACTCTCCCTCCAAACAATAACCACCTCCCCACCCACCTTCCTATCCTCCACGCCTCAAGCAAGGTTAGTGTTCTCTCTCTTCATACTGTACTGTAGTGTACTTTGTGTCATATTTTTGTGGTTTAAAAAGAAAAATAGATATGGTTCAGAATGGATTAACCATATTTACATTGAACCTTATGGGAAAATTTGATTCAGGTCATGACCAAAATTGGTTGGTGACCAAATTCGTAGGGGTCAGAACGGATTAACCATATTTACATTGAACCTTATGGGAAAATTTGATTCAGGTCATGACCAAAATTGGTTGGTGACCAAATTCGTAGGGGTCAGAACGGATTAACCATATTTACATTGAACCTTATGGGAAAATTTGATTCAGGTCATGACCAAAATTGGTTGGTGACCAAATTCGTAGGGGTCAGAACGGATTAACCATATTTACATTGAACCTTATGGGAAAATTTGATTCGGGTCGCGACCAGAGTCACGGAACGAATTAAGTTCGTGACCCGAGGTACCACTGTATAATCTCCTTTTTTATGTTACTCTAAAGGGGCAAGATACCTACTTTCAATTCTGTGGAGTTCTTGGTGCTCTCTGAGCTTGGTTGTTTGCTTGCAAACATTTCATTACCTAACTAAGTAACAACAGTAGCGCGAGTGAGTATGGGGGTTTGCTGCCTATGCTCACTTGCACTGATGATGTTACTTAATTGGGTAATGAAACGATTGGAAGCAAACAACCAAACTCAAAGAGCAGCAAGAACTCCAGAGTTCAACCCTGAGCTACATATATTCTCTTCTATTGGAACTTTCAATTGTATTTGTGTCTAAGTACACTATATACAGCTAATATCCAAGTGTCCTTATGGGTACTTTTCTTTCTCCACAGCTTTTGGTGCCTCGTGATTAAAGAGGAGAATGAGAAGATTTTTGAGGCCTGGACATGATACTGTACGAGAGAGGCTCAAGCGTGACCTTTTCCAATTTAACAAGGTATGTTGTGGGGCTTGAATAGGATCTAAGAGGAAACAAGTACATAACCTTTCCACATTTCACATCCCATTGCTGGTTCAGGTGAATTGAGGGATGGAAGGTAAGGGACTGCTTAACCTTCTGACTTTGCTGAATGCAGTTTGCCCATAATCATACTTATTTTTTGGTTTGGAATATAGTATGAAACACAAAAGTATCTGATAAACCTCCCAGAATTGTTGGGAGTCTGTGGTGTACAAATTTAATGAATCATCCATCATCTTGTGCCGGACTTATATTGCCACTGAGACAACAGATTTTTGATATATTAATGTCTTAAGCTTGCAGATTGTTTCCTGATTTCCAGATGGCCATTTAGAACTCAAATTTTCATTTATAATTTTTAAGACAGGAGGTCTTTTTTCTTCTTTGGCAATATGTTCTCTCTGTGGAGGCATATGGCAGCTATTCTGGTTTGGGTATAGTACTGTTTTTAAATAAACAAGCAAAGGGCAGTGTACAATTCACAAGCTTGTATGCACTCCTTCAGTGAAAGTGGGAGGAGTGTTAGATTTTATTTTAAAAAACGAAAGCAGTTGGTATGCTGCTAATTATTTAGTTAAAAATCTGCAAAGCTAATACTGTGTTAAACCACAGTAACTCTAAATAGATTTTTATTAACTGAAGATAAATTTCTCTACATTTCAAAAACTGCTTTTAATTCAACATCACAAACAGTACAGTGGACTACAGGAAGTCCTCGCTTATTGACTGCCTCATTTAATGTCAATTCAAAGTTACAACAGTGTAAAAAATTAGCTTTGCAACCAGTCTTCACATTTATGACCATCGCAGCATCCCATGGTCATGTGATCACCATTTGGGCACTTAGCAGCTGGTGCACGCTTATGACTGTTGTAGCATCTTGCAGTCAAGTAATTACCATTTGTGTGCTTCGCAACTGGCTGGTGACTAGCAGTTTAAAATAGAGAAGGCGGAAATAATATTGTAAGTCATGGTCATGTGATGTTTCACTTAGCGACTGCAGTGCTTAGCGACGGAGTTGCCAGTCCCAATTGTGGTTGCTAAGCGAGGACTACCTGTATTTGGAAGAAGTAAAAACTAGAGTGTTTTTGTGATGTTCACACATTCTGCCAATTCTTAATGTTTTTGTAGATCTGTAAACATGGCACTTTCTCTGTCTTGATAGTCATGAGCGACAGCAGATATATTAGCAAACTGAGGGAAAGGAAATAGGGCTTGATTTACTGTATTGAATTGTGGGCAGCCCTCTTTGGAAACTTTAAGATAGATTAGCACACCTTTTGCAGATGCTGGGGAGTACTGGAATAGCTTCAGTGTTTTACCTCTCAAGATGTTTATAACTAAGCAGTGCTATTCAAAAGTCAGTTGTAAGAAGCACAAGTAATCTATGCTAGTCTTCCCTATCCTGCTGGACTCCAGACAGATTTCAGTTCCTATCATTCCCACTCAGAGGACAGTCAGCTGTTTAACTGGGAAAATAGATTTGTAAACCACAGTATCTGGAAGCACTATTTGAAGGAGGCATCCTTAGAGCTTCCATTCTGACCTTGAGGTCATTCAGCTTTAGGAACAATAAGGCATTTCTGCACTGGAAGAATGTGCCATGTTTCTTCATAGTGAACTGGAGAATTGCAGATTGTTCATGCATGGAATTCCATGTTAAACATAAGCCACAAAAACAATCCCATTTCAAAATATTGTTTGGATACCCAGATTCAGATATCCAGATTCTCATGTTGCAGTTGGTTTACACACTTAAGTTTCATTTACTAAATATAAACTGGAGTGTAGGAAGTATCTATCCCTGACCCTTCTCTCTCTCTTGCTTAAATCATGAAATGGCAGTATTTTTAACTTACATTTTACATGTCTAGCTTGTGATTAGTGTGATTTGTAGTGGATTGGCCCAGTGCAGAAAAGAATTATGCCTGCTGTACAAATTTCACAAAGCAGCCAGATTTGTTGATGTGGTGATTCATTTAAAAACATTAAAAATAAAACTAAAAGTTTACTACGTGTACTCAACCTGGGAAGTCTCTCCTCAAGAGTGTCCACGAAGTAAAGAATCGTTGATAATACAGCTACATTCTGGAATATAATTTTAAAGTTAAGATCAACTTTTGCAGTATTAGACTCAACTGCATTGTTAAATATTTACTAGTCTATATAATAGCATAATATAGACTTTGTCCTCCACTAGAGTGGGGAGTCTAGGAACCCCGCACTGCGTGCAGCCTGAGCCCATTTTTGTGGCCCTCAAAGACCCCTAAGATTGCACCAAGATTGAAATTGGATACCAAAATATTGGTTTTGGGTGGCATGATTTGTGCAATTTTAAGTGAGCTATAGTCTCTGCAAGGTTTGACATACCTATTTTACATGGAAATTCTCCTTAACTATATATTACTTTTATTGCTTTGAAGGGCCACGAAAAGATTTCCTGCTGTATTTTATACAATGTAATAGATGGTGCATGGAAAACCTTTGAATACTTAAATGTGCTACAGAAATTTAACTATCAGTTGAACTCATTGTTTACTCACTAGGTAACCACAATGTAACATGAATCTATCGATGTATCTGGTTATTTATTTAAAATATTTAGATGGCCGCCCAACTGAAATAGTTTGAATCTGGGCAGTGTGCAAAAGAAAAAAAGAAAATCAAACTGACAGTACAAAACAAACATATCATTAAAACCAAATAAATAGTAAACATAAATGGTAAACATGAATGAATCCATGATGACTCCTAAGAATGGAGACTCTACTCATTCTGGCCCAAAGGCTTTGGGAAAGAGCTAAACCTTAATGGCCTCCCTAAAGCCCTGTTGGGAGAAGATCATTTGAAAGAGCAGCTTCCACCACTGAGGACGCATGGCTCCTGGATCCTACAGGTAGTCCTCGGGTTATGTCCCTTTGTTCAGTGACCATTCAAAGTTACAGTGTTGCTGAAAAAATGAACTTATGACCAGTTCTTGCACTTAACGACCATCACAGCCTTCCTGCGGTCACATGATCAAAATTCAGGCACTTGGCGACCAGCCCGCATTTACAACCATTGGAGTGTCCCGCTCTGTGTTCTCGTCCTGTGCGAACTGCATATGTTTCAACTCCCCCCACCCACCTATCTCTCTGCGTGCAGATCAGGCTTTGCAGAGCCAAATACCAGCATGGCCAGCAGCAGCCCCAGCTCCACTGCGCGCAGGCAGTGGCAGGTGCAGCCTTGGAGGGGGGACCCTGTGGGGTTCTCAGCTGCCCCCACCCTGGAGGGCAGCTCAGGCAGGACACCCACCTATCTCCCTCCACCATCTCTGCCTGCCCTGCACAGCATGGCTGAGATGAAGATGCCACTGTATTCCTCTACCCCTTGCTGCTGCTGCTGCCTCCTCAGCCTCTGGGTTCCTGGAGGGCCTGCCCCGCTTCTCTGTTTAGCATTAACTTAGTGAGATCTAGCTGCTTCATCTCCTTGCTTTGCTTTAGATATACATCTTAAAAGTGGCTGAACATAAATTCTTTTTAAAAAAAAGAAATGGTGCTAAAATGTCAGATTGTTTGCAGCTTCTACACGTCAGTTTTTCATTTCCAGAGGCCACGCGGCATCCCAATTTTTATTTCAAACTACTTCAGTTAGATGTAAGTATTCTTAACTGCAAACACACAATGCCTACAGGTCAGACTTTGGTTTAAGGGTCACCCAAAGCAAACCAGCTCATCCAGTCTTTCTCCTTAGTGTTGTGAGTATTCTGCTTTTGGCCAGTGAACAAAATCTCAAAGCTGCTGGGAATATTCAATTTGGGATTCCTGTTTGCTTGGAAGACTGTGTCTAAACCATAGGTCCCATTTGTATTTTCGGTATGTAAAAATTAGATATTTGTGTTCTTAGTCTAAATGAAAGTGTTTTCCTCCCTGAATACTGAAAAGCTGCATCATAAATAAGAAGTCTAGGGGAGTGACTTTCAAGTATATAGACAAGGGGTCTGTGGGGTGGGGTCCACTGACTGATTCCCCAAATGCCACAGCTATTGACAGGCACACCCTGTGGCAGCTCTTCCTAATTAGCTAGTTTCACTCCAGTTTTTAATTTAAGGATATGCAAAGCATTGCACATTTGAAAAACATTGGTCTGGTTAATCTAGAATTGTTGAGCACTTGAAATAGTCCTGCCTCTCCCAAGCTCAAAAAGACCCATTTCAAATTCCACCCGGAGCTGTTTTATTCTGCAATAGCTATAGAATTGTCAGAACAGTCAACTTTGAATTTAGGACAGCTGAGCTTTCAAGCTCAAACTATTACAAGTCCAGATGTTTTGCATATCTCTAGCTTTATTAAAGCATTTTCCTCCTTGAAATAATCTAATCTGCCTCCAAATGAAAGTGAAACAAATGTAAGACTATAGCAACAGTTGAGTTCTAATTGTTCTAATTGAGTTCTAAATGTAAATAAGATTCTTATAGTTCTTATTTACTGTCTTATAGTTTGTTTTTATTTGGAGTGCTTTTCCACAATTTGTCGCTTGATTTTCTCCTTTTTAAGTCTGTCCATGTTATGGTCAGGCATGTCTTTAAAACAATGGAACATTGATCTGTTCACTCAGGCATTCCCCTCAGGCGAGGCCAAAAGCAAATACGCAACTGAGAGAGATTATCCTTTTACTACGGTATCTCTATGGTGTTGTTGCAGCATGTGGTCTGCGGGCGGGAAGAGGCTATATTTCTCGGCTGGCCAGAGAGTGCCTTGTTCATGTTTAAGTACACGTATCCCGGCAACACAAGCAGCTGTCGCTACCTAATAGCGGGAACCGCTTGGGGATTCTGAGAACACCTGTGGTTCCATCTTGCAGAAATTCTCTGCTAGACCAAAGAGCAGCCCAGTGTGAAATTTAATTCCCTCTTCTTAGCATGGCATGTTGTACAACTCTGCAGGGCCAGGCATGTCTCAGTTGTGAAGTTAGCTGATCAGCCAAGTTCGGCTGCCTGACGGGCTGGTTTCACCTGTGTTTTACCTAACTGGAAGCATTCCACTTGGTTCATACCTGAGTGGGGTTCTTTACGTTGGTATGTCTTTCAGCCTGCCCTGCTAATGGTTGTAAACATAGGCTTGTGTGGTGGCTAAGCGGTTGCCAAGATTTGATCGACTGCTGCTTAGGTTTCTAAGGGCAGAATCAGAAAGCAGCTTGTTTCCCTCGTGGTGATAAGACGATTGTTACCAGTTTGGGCTGAGACTTGGGCGAAACAGCTCTGCCAATCTTTTCAGTTGTCTGAAAGCGGCCCCTCCCGTGCCAGATACCCAGAGATGGAGTTCCATGTTCTGAGGATAAACTATACTTTCCCTAAATAAAAATCAGCTTGATAGCTCAGTCAGCAAAACTAAGTTTGCTGTTGCTTGCCTTCTGTATGTATGTGTGTCTGCTTTCCATGGCTGTTTCATTGTTTTTTCCCTCCACACCCACTCCAGGTATACCTGCTTCTCTCCTCTATTGGTATTTCATGTTATAAGGTGCAACCTTCTTAGTCATTTTTAAAAATCTGAATATTTTTGCTTTTACGCCCAAATAAATCTCATTTATCAGTGGCTATGGTGGTGGTGCTATGAAGAGCTGGAGAGCTGTATAATGTAGCTAACTGTGATTAAACTGAAAACAGAGCACTACAAGTAAACAAAGTTGCCCTCTCCTGCACAGTTAAATAGGTTTTCCCAGGGGTTGGGTAGACTCTCAGACAATGTGTGCTGTTCAGGCTGGTAAAATCAGTGGAAATAAAATCTCTTGAAAGCTTCTTTCCACTTGTGTAAGAGGCAGTGTGGACTCAGCACATTGTTTAAAATGCTTCCCCCCCGCCGAAATCTGAGGCTTAAAGCAGGTGTACTTTTGCAGATAGTAAATGCTGAGCAATGTTAATTGAATTCAGAGTAGCAGAGTAGTTGAAGGAATTGCTGTGATAATATTCATAAGCTTTTTATTTTCTTTGTTTCCATTGTATAATGCTTATAAGATTAAAGTTTGTTGGTTTTCAGCCAGGGATGATGATCTCTTAGACAGAATACAAAAAGATAAAGAGAGGTGGAGAATACAAAGGTGACCAAACAAGTCACCTTGTTTTCTAAAGCTCTGTAACGGTATTTGCAATATGTAATCAGGACTGAGGTGTTGCTGCTTTAAGTGTATATATAGCTTAGTAATGCTCTGTCTTATAACGTAAGCCAGGAAAAGTTCCCTTTCATTTCTGCCATCCTGTACAGTTGGTCTAGCTAAGTGTGAGTTCAAGCTAAGTGTCTGTTCTAGCAGGAGGCAGGTGGAAGCAGTTTCATCTCTCAGTGAAGGATGAGGACATCCCGGGTGTTTTCTACGTTAAACCTTTTTTTTAAAAAAAATCCAAACCGAATGTTTTAATTTAAATCCAGACTTTCTATTAGGCTGTGTATAAATGTACCATGGTGCCCACACAAGCTCTTTTTATGTTTTTCCTAGCAGGCCTGGCACAGGATGCAGCTCCAGCCTTCTGCCATCCCGTCTCATAATCCTCCTGGGCCGTGGTTGGGGCTCAGAGGCCTTCTTTGCAATGAGGATGGTGATGGGTGCTATGGCTGGTGCTAACAGTGTGCCTGACCACCTGGTAAAATAGACACGGAAATTCAATAAGGTTAGAGAAAACTGAGCACATGCTCTTGAACAGAGAAGGGCAGCTATTCTGCGATCATGGCAGTTCACAAAGAGTTAGGCATCCTGGAGAGACACTTATATATGTCTATGTATACACACAGGTCTTTTGCCTGCCTCTTTTCAGACAGCTAATTTTTTTTTTTGATTTCTTAAATCCCACCATTATTATTAGTTTTATAAGTAACTCAAGGCGGTGAACGTATTTAATACTCCTTCCTCCTCCTATTTTCCCCACAACAACCCTGTGAGGTGAGTTGGACTGAGAGAGAGTGAGTAGTCCAAAGTCATCCAGCTGGCCTTTGTGCCTAAGGCAGGACTAGAATTCTCAGTCTCCAGGTTTCTAGCCTGATGCCTTCATCACCAGACCAAACTGGCTATTCTTGGCTATTGGCTATTCCCAATTCTTGAGAGTAAGTGATTCCTGAAGGATGCTGTCATGATAGGACAACTTAGCTTTCTGTTTTGCCCTATGTATCCTGTTTGGAGAAAAGCCCTTGAAATGGTACCCACTGGTGCTTCAGCTCACCTGGAAACCTTTTCTACCTGCAGATACTAATTCTGTATACACGGATGTAGGGGATTGGCTCCATGACATGTGACAGCAGAGAATAGTTTTATTCTGCACAGTCGTGGTTACATTCATATTTTGGAAAAAGTAAATTTAGAGAATGCTGATCAGGCTGTAGTTTTAGGTTCTTATGAAACCAGAAGTGTGACCATCTGACTTGAGGCTGAACTTTATAAATTTTGTCAGTTGTGTCAGTTCTTCATTACTGCAAGGTTTCTGGCATTTAAGGTCAAAAAGACATAATCTTCTCTTTCAGCAAGATTATCTGCTGAGCCCATCTTTTTATGCCTTATGGTAATCATTATAATAAATAGTTCTGCAGTCTGTAATTTTTCCAGATTATTAATGTTGATGACGCTGTCAACCAAACAGCATTATTGCATACTTTCATAGTACAGAAATACTGTTCCCAAAAGTTCTCGGCACCTTGGCCATAATGGAATTTGATTTAAACCCTTATTCTAAAAATCTTTCACCATACTCATGTATTTGCTCCTAAGCAGAGAGGTGCAAATGGATGGAAGAAGGGTCAGACGGTATTTTCAACATTGCAAACAGCAGCACTTCTGTTTTCCCTTAACACATACATATCTATGCTTGAAGAATCACTGATTTTTGTAAAGGTGAAAGAAAAAATAATGTTTTATATGGTTTGTGCATATCCAGTTTTTTAAAAAAATTATTCCAACCTCTGGCTGGTAAACCATGCTTGATGGCTTAGGTGTTGTGTTAATACAATCCTTGTGGCTTGTTCAGTCTGTGGATAGAGGAAACTGGATTAGAGCAATGTGTAAGCCAGGTTATATACTCTTTCCCTACACATTGTGCTTACGTGCTTTGCTTCTGAAATTGTTCTGCCTGTACTTCTGGAATGCTGTTGTTTAGGTTAGCAATACCTATATAGACTAAAGGTCTGGCTATATAAAACAATAGGATACATGTTTTTGTGGCCTAATATATTTATACAGTAAAGGCAATGCTGGGCAGGATGCCATGTCTCCATTGTAGAAAATCATGTTTTTCTTTCGCATAGAAAATAATTTGTTAAAATTGACATTAACAAGTTAAAAATGGAAGTTCTGGAAATACCTCAAAGGTTCTCAAGACTAATCTTACTCATGCCTGGTCTGGGGTGGATGAATGGGGTAGACTTTATGCTATCAATATTTTAAAAGGATTTTAAACCATGTTTCTGAGATCTTGTTCTACAGGGAGTTCGTCCATAATGGCCTTAGAGTGATTAAGGCAGACCTCTGGCTCTGTAAAACTTGTCTGAAGAAGTACTTTATTTCAATATTAAATTGCTTGAATCCAGAAACTAGTTACGATGAAATTATTTGCTCTTATGTAAATTCACTATATATGCTTGACTATGAAATGCAGCTTTCTGTCTTCTGTGTATGATGCATATTGTTTGTTCATCTTTTCCTTTTCCATCAGACTGTTGAACATGGATTTCCTCATCAGCCAAGTGCCCTGGGCTACAGCGCTTCCCTCCGCCTCATGGCTATTGGAACCCGGGCAGGAGCCATCAAAATGTATCCTTTCAATTGTTTACTTCTGCTTTCTAATCAGTGTTAGGGGAGAAAGTAGGTCAACTGCACACCTGGTAGACATAATGCTTTAGACTAGAATCCCCAAAGATGCTGTTGTTTAGTCGTTAAGTCGTGTCCGACTCTTTGTGACCCCATGAACCATATTGCGCCAGGCCTTCCTGTCCTTC